TGTACGTGATGGAGAAAAATGGATATCATTTTTGGATTCAGCATACAAGAATTACTGTAGAACATGTAAAATTTTCAAGAGAATAAAACCAGGCCTGTGTTATTAGAGAGGCTAACACAGCATGAAACAAAGTGCTTACATATTTTTGTGTAGCATGTGTTGGCATTAGCTTTGTAAATGTAAAATAAGTATAAGATTCACAGTCAGTGGAGTTTGTACTATTTACGTCAATGTTTTTTTTTATCCTTCTAGTTAAGGTCACTTTGGATATTTTTTATTCATGTTTGATTAATTTTGAAATGTTAGTTTCTTCTTGCAGTACAAAATGGTAAAGACAAAGTGTGTCCAGGCATTTTAAAAAGTTATCTGATTTTTTTGGCTCTGTATGTATAGGAAACATTTGATGCTGGTTTGACAGCTTTTGAACAAGAGGGAATTCAAAACATCACTCAGCTCAAAGATCAGTTGATTTCTGCAGGGCATGAACAATCTCCCGCAATTCTGAAACGTCACAGTAATGTGATGGAACGGTTAGTTTACCTTTAACAAAAACTTCCTTTTTTTTTTTACTAATTAAAGTACATGGAACGGGATTTGGTACAGCTGTATGCATGATACTCGGTGAACTTTTTACCGAAATTTTATTATCTATGATATTGAATGTTTACAACTGCATCTGTTTATTGAATCATGTTTTTTGCATGCATACATAATTATTTCAAATCTAAAAATAAGATTGATGACTCATTTCTGTGAAATTTTAGATTGAAGAATAAATTGAACTTATGTGTTTCTAACTCTGTCTGTAGAAATTAAATCATTAAAGAATATATGAGGTACTGTTTTAAACCTTCAGTTTAATTTCAAACTGCTTTTATTTCCCACTGTTAATAAATTCCACACACTATCCCCCCGAATTTTAGTTGGAACAACCTCTTGGGAGCTTCAGAAGCTCGAAAACACCACTTGTTGAAAATGCAAGGACAGTTTAAACAGGTGAAAATTACTTTAAAGTTATATTTCTTCAAACTAATTTATTAGTATAGGAAGTATTTTTACTTTATTGGCCAGAAAGTAGATTTGAAAGTTCATTTTTTTTTTCCTGTAAGACTAAAAATCATATTCCTGCTTGACTTTCCACCTTTCACCATTAAACACTTTGTACATTGTATCAGTCGGTTAAATTATCAAATTATATGTACGTTTTTCTTTTGTACTCGATGCCATCCAATTTTTTTCCCATCAGCAAGAAATTGAAAACATAAAAACATTGGAAATTCCCAACGTAACATATTCACAAGATTGGAAAATGGTTCTAATAAGGTAACCGTTTAGAAAATGATTTTTTTAAAAACAAATCAACAGTTACGGTCAATTTACGCAGTAGGTCTACCACAATTAGGAAAACCCTAATAATAAGGGTTAAACTGAAAAGTTTGATCTAACATCTTTTCTTTCACATTCATTTGAATTGACATATGATAAGAAAAAAAATTCTAAAAAGTCCTTTTTTAATAGCTTTTGTCTTAAACCCTTTTAGATTGAGGACCTCTTTCTTACGTTTGCTAAGAAAGCTTCGTCTTTCAACAGCTGGTTTGAAAATGCAGAAGAAGATCTTACAGACCCTGTTCGCTGTAACTCAATTGAGGAAATAAAGGTACAATCTAATTAGTGAAATTTCCATCTTTGAAAGTTGAATTTGATATTCTGATTTCATGTTGACAAATTACTTTTGTTTGTGTGATGTAAACAATGTTTAAAGCTTGCTGAATTACCTAAAACTTTAAAGTACTATCTTCTATGGATACGTCATTGAATGGGAGTATATAGTGTTTGATTGGCCAACTCATGTGAAAAAAAGAAATTGATAGGTAGTTCTTTTTAAGTTTGTCTAAATTGTTCCTGGTATTGTTGGCTGATTTGGGTTGAAGATTGAAACATTAAAATAACTCAGTAGACCTTAGAAATAAATACATTTATTAAAAGTAACATTATGTAATTTCTTGGTTTCTATGTTAGTATTTCACTGAATAAATATTCTTGAAATTAAGTTACTAATTTTGTTTTTGTTGTCAAGTAAGCACTAGGGCAATCAATATGTTTAATAAAAGCCTACAATGGATACAGACTAATGTTAGCAATGGCCTGATAGTACAGTTTAGCTGTTAAAAGAAAAATATACTCAGAAGATCATGAAATTTATGTATATAACAATATGTCCTCATAAATGATACCTCTTACAAATAAAGTCACCAAACAGCAAAATTTTGATATTTTATGAAGCTAAAAATAGGAGTAGTATCATTAGGCTGCTTTGCAGTGCTACCAGTTGGTTATTTGTGCTTTAGGCCTATCGACTGCCAGGGTCGTTAAGGCTATCAATTACTGAGGACGTGCGTGGCTGGAATAACGAAGTGCGCGCGGCACTTGATTGGTTGTTGTGAGGGTGTGCAGCTTAGAGGGAACACTGGTTTCGTGTATCAAACATGATCAAAGAAAAAAAGACAAGTGCTTTAATGTGCTGTTACTAAACATCTTGGTTACCAAAATAATTATTCAGTTTTTCCTCCCAACCCCACAAAAATGTTCCACTTTGTCTTCCTTTAATACCACTGTAAAGCTCAAGGATTGGTAACTATTGAAAAATAAAATAAAGTTTTCTTACAGGAGATTATCACTTTTTATTTATTTATTTAGGCTCTACAAGAAGCTCACGGCCAATTTCAAGCATCGCTAAGCACAGCTCGGGCAGATTTTGAAACTTTGGCTCAGCTTGACAAACAGATCAAAAGCTTCAACGTTGGACCTAACCCATACACCTGGTTTACCATGGAGACCCTTGAAGATACTTGGAATAGTTTACAGAACATCATAAAGGTATTATGACATTAATATTATTATTATTATTATCTGAAATTTTAGGTTGTTGTCTATACGATGTGGCTACGCACTATAAACTATTTTTGTTTTGAAGTTTTGCTTCAAACAAAAGCTGTTAGAAACCCGAAGTCTGTGGTTCTTTTTATTTTGGTCATGGTAACCTGCCACTTCCTTTATGAAGAGAGTCTGCAGATTGAGAATTGCTGCCCCAAGTAGTTACTAGGGATTTGCTTGGAAATGTTTTTGGTATATTTATAATTATAAAGTGAGGTTTCTTTATGTGTATGACTTAATGTCAAAATTCACTCGTATTTCTTGAAATTAATGGACTCATTATTATTGTTCTTAATGTTAATAAATGCTTACTTTTTAACATATATGTTATTGTACAACAAGCTTTTTTGTTTTAAAATGGATGAATTTAAAGAGTATTTGAAGTCCATTTTTCCATTATCGAGAAAAGTAATGCTGTTAAATTTTCTAATATTAACCTCACCACAGGGTTCCCATACCTACTTGGAATCCAAGAAAATTGATTAAATTTAACTTTTAGTCAGAACTGTCTAGGAATTTGAAAAATGTGAAATATGAGGAAGAGTGCTTATGGGGTTTTCTGTCATTTCTTTGCCATCTGCTATTTTAATAGTCTTGCTGAGGATGTTTCATAATATTGCTTCTGATTAGTTAGTAGACAAGTTAATAAACCAATCAAAAACAATCATATAAACATCAATTTATGAATTTCTTTCATGCCATACTCTCCAAGGTGGTTCATCAAAATGGCCTGAGTTAGTGTTTGGAAGTCATAACATGAGATTGAACAACATGGTTTTATACCAGATGGCATAATGGACACAAAGAAAATCATTCAGAACATCTACTTAATATGTGTACATTTCTTTTACATTTGGATAAGATTAACTAAAGTAGTCTTTTTACATATTCCTGCACTGTTACGTTATGTGACTGAACTAATGTCACGAAGAAGTACACTTGGTTAAACTCATGGAAGTACATCACACATCCATTTGCTCTGTGATTCTGTTTTAAATCAAATATGATGTGTCTGGTATTCTGTCATTATTATTCCTGATAATTAAGTCTTTGATATAGATAATTGATATCAGAAAGAAAAACCATTAAAAGTCATCAACTATAACTTTATTATCATATTTAAATATATGTGCAGTAAAATCCACCCCAAATCCCATTAAGGAGTGGAAAAAAAAAAGAAACTTGACCTGGAAATTTGTTATCTTGTCTTCACCAAAAGAATTGGGGAAAACATTTTCAAAGTATTTAACTTTCCTACAATTAGAGATAGTCTTAGGTCATAAATATATGATCTTTTAATATTTTTTTTTGGATCTTGTATATGGTAGCAAAGTTGATGTACTGACCAACGTAATTTATAAACATACAAATTATGTTCGTAAATGTATTTGTTCACAGGAACGAGATACTGAACTGTCTAAGGAAATGCTGCGACAGGAAGAAAATGACCAGCTTAGAAAAGAATTTGCCAGATATGCAAATGCTTTCCATGGAATGCTAACAGACATAAGGTAAAAAATGAAAGATAGATATTAGGGAAATATGGATTTAAAGAATGAAACCGTTTGGTATATATATTTCTATTTATTTTATTATAAGTTTAAAATCTTCATCCTTTAAGTAGAAAACTTTTCTGTCAAAGTATCTCAACTTTTATAATAAAAAAAAAAGTGTGAACAGCAGCACCACCTCCAGCACTGAGTGTATACTTTCCTAATGTGGGATGTTTCGTAAGGTTTTCATACAATAATCGTTTTATGTATAATCTTGGCCAGGTGGATGAGGCGCTTGACTCGCAATCTGAGGGTCACGGGTTCGAATCCCCGTCACACCAAACATGCTCGCCCTTTCAGCCGTGAGGGGCATTATAATGTGACGGTCAATCCCACTATTCGTTGGTAAAAGAGTAGC